CAGGCGAAGCTGGGATTCCGCCATCCCCACAGCTGCAGCAGCTGAATGCTGCTGACAGGAAGAGGAGGAAAGGCGAAGGAAAGCATTGGAGAGCGGTGGAGGGCGGTGGAGTGCGGTGGAGAGCGGTGGAGAACGAGTGGGGTGGAGTGCGATGGGGTGTGGGGGAGAGCGGTGGAGTGCGGTGGGGAGCGGTGGAAACAGCTGGCAGGTGCGCCGGCTCAGAAGGGAGCCAAGGCCGGTGGGTCGGTGGCAGCAGAGCGACGCGGCAGCGCAACGACACGTCGGCTCGACGGCACTGCGGCGGCTGGTCGGTGCGGGGCCGGGGCGAACTGTGGCCGGCAGAGCAGGGGCCGGTGGCGCTGGGGTACCGGCGGAGCGCATAGGGCCAGTGAGGGAAATGGGGCCAGCGAGGGCGCATAGGGCTGGTGGGCGCGTACTGGGCTAGCTGGGGCACGACGGGGCCAGCGGGGCGCACGGGGCGAGCGGGGCGCATGGGGCGAGCGGGGCTCACGGGGCCAGTGGGGTTAGACGGTGCCAGTGAGGCGCTAGTGGGCCAGCGGGGCGCGAGCGAGCTAGCTGGGCTCAACGGGGCCAGCGGGGCGTGAACGGGGCAGCGGGGCGAACGGTGCCAGCGGGGCCTACGGGACCAGCGGGGCGCACGAGGCTGGCAGGGTGCGACGGGGCCAGCAGGGCTAGCGGGGCCTAGCAGGGCTGGCGGGGCGCGATGGGGCCAGCGGGGCTAGCGGGGTCTAGCAGGGCTGGCGGGGCGCGATGGGGCTAGCGGGGCTAGCGGGGCCTAGCGGGGCCTAGCGGGGCCGGCGGGGCGCGACGGGGCCAGCGGGGCTAGCGGGGCCTAGCGGGGCCGGCAGGGCGCACGGGGCTGTCGGGGTGCGATGGGGCCAGCAGGGCTAGTGGGGCCTAGCGGGGCTGATGGGGCGCGATGAGGCCAGCAGGGCTAGTGGGGCCTAGCGGGGCTGGCGGGGTGCTACGGGGCCAGGAGGCCGCTAACTGGGCTGCGGGGCGCTAAGGGACAGAGGGGGGGCGCGAAGGGGCTAGCGTGGCGCTAAGGGGCGGCTAGGACTAGGCCTAAGGCAGAAGCGCGGGTGGGCGGGGATACCTAACCTAGCGTGATACCATATCGACGTGAGAAAGAGTGACTAGAATGAGGTGGTACTAGGGGATATAACCTAAGGGGTTGTACTCTATAAAAGCATGCACGTAGCTTGCCTATTACATATACAAATTATATGTTGACACCTTGTGCAAGTAGTAGGACTAGTCTTGCTACCCTGAGCTGTTTTTCACATACTATAGAGGCCAGATTAGTAGTGCTGTCCTGGATTGCTGTATCCGACCAGGCTTTGCCCTTATCCGGGTTAGTGGGTGTGTTAGAGTTCATATACATATGTGTGTTAGGAATATATGAACTATAGCCTAGCTAGGTGCAATTCATATAAGGTACTATACTTAGATACATTCCCTGTGCTTGCTATGACCTAGTCAAATTTTCTTCTCACGATAGTCTTATCCATTATTATTTTCCTTGTCATCTCTGACATCTCTTATGCAAGGTGTGAAGTCTTCCGCTGACTTTTACTCTTGGTTCCACCAACTCTAGATCCTGATCACCCTAAATACGTGGTTTTCTCCAACAGTTTTTCTGTAGGAAGTTGCTTGCTGTTCAAAATTACTAACATCTGGTTAAGTTGACAAAATTAGATTGGAGCACGAACAAGTAAAAAGAAACAGTAAAACAACTCATACGGAAAGAATCTCTCTTCAACAAATACGGGCTGATTCTAACGAATTCTATTTATTATCGAGGTATTATGGTTGGACTCCCTCACCCCACCCACTTATCTCATGCCCAGCCCTAACAACGCGGTCCAAGGTACCCGTAGTTATTAGCTAGGCCTCAGGTTCGTTCCTGGTCCTAGGGAATTAGCAGTAGTGGTACCGCGAACGCCACGGGTATAGACGCAGAGGCGAAGGCTCTCTCCATTGGAATCTACTGTGGAAAATTCTCGCTGTATCTCGTCGGCCTCGCCTCTCACTCGTCCCCTTCGACTGCTGAAATAGTTTTTAGAAATCTCAAAAATCTCTCACGGGAATCTTCAGCGGACTGTTTTCGCTGTATCTCGTCGGCCTCGCCTCTCATTCACCCCTTTTGACTGCTGAAATCCCCTCGCAGCCTGACTCGCGGACTGACGAGTCGCCAGAATTCTCGCCGCTTTCATCATCACCTGTACTCTTCATCTCGTTGTTCGACCTAGCTCTTTCTTGCCAAGCCCTCCCTACGCTCGCTCTCTCCCTTTAGTGATATAGATTGCACTGAGGTCCGGCCAGGTTTTCTGAACTCCCGCCGAGTTCCACCGAACTCCTTCCTACAGTTTTCCTTGCTACCGAACTCCTCATTGAACTCCTTCTTACCGAACTCCAACCTACCCAAATCCTACCTGCCGAGCTCCCACAATGGTCGAGATTCGTGCCGCGACCGAGGACGACACGGATCGTTCACGGTGGCAAATCATCTACCCCGTTTACATAAACTCGAAGATGACTATAGCGGAGGGCCGCCGGATCGCCGTGACTAAAGCGGCGGAGGACCCGAAGATCCAGGAGATGGTCGACTCGTGCACCTACCTTAAAATCCCGGTGCATGCCGAGGTGGGTTTGGCTTGGAGCGCTACATGTGTGGCATTATACCGACTAGAATTACCAGTCGGGTCAAGAGAACCCGAAGATCCACGAGATGGTGGACTCGTGCACTTATCTTAAATCCCGGTGAGCGCTGAGGTGAGCTTGGCATGAAGTATGGCGTTTGTGGCATGGCATTATACCGAGGTGACTTTTGAGCTGGCTCATGGTGACCCGAGTTTCCAGGAGACGGTCGACTTGTGCACCTACCTCGATATTCCCGTGCACGCTGAGGTGAGTTCGGTGACTTAGACGGTGGTAAAGCGCGACATTATAGCGAGTTGATGTGTGCAGTGTGATTATAGCGAGGTGACTGTTGAGTGAACTCACAATGACCCGAACATTCAGGAGATGGTCGACTTGTGCACTTATATTGAATATCCCCATGCACGCAGAGGAGAGTATCGTATGGCATCATACTGAGGTATGGCACTATATCGAGGTATGGCACTATATCGAGGTGTGGCACTATTTCGAGTTGTGGCACTCTATCGAGGTGTGGCACTATGCAGGGTGTGGCACTATATCGAGGCGTGGCACTATTTCGAGGTGTGGCACTATGTCGGGGTGTGGGACTATATCGGGGTGTGGCACTATATCGGGATGTAGTTTTATTTTAAGGTGACTGCTGAATCAACTCACAATGACCCAGAGATTCAGGAGATGGTCGACACGTGCACCTACCTCAATATCCCCGCTCATGTCGAGGTTTGTCGTGAGAGTACACTGAAGATTCACCAGACCGAGGAGACTTAAACAACTCTGGAGGACCCGAAGAGTCTGGTTGTGGTCGACTCACCAGCCCTACCTTCAGACTCTGGTGCACTTTTGTGCTTTTGCAGAGTATTTTTTAGAACTCTCAGAAACACCGAGGAGACTTGAACAACTCAAGAGGACCCGACGATTCTGGTTGTGGTCGACTCACCAGCCCCACCTTCAGATCCTGGTGCACTCCGTAGTGAGCTTGTCTTGAGGTGCGTTGGTCTGACCGTCCCTGTACAAGTCGACTCAAAAGAGCCTGAAGATCCAAGGGATGGTCGCCTCGTGCACCTAGCCTACTTCTAGATGCCAAAGAGATCGCTCTCGAGTGCAGGCAAAATCACCTGACAACACTTTGCACAACCCTCAGGTTTCATCCGTGCATGTGTGTGTCTCTGCACCCCTGTGTGTGTGTCTACAACCCTGTGTGGGTGTATCTGCACCCCTGTGTGTGTGTGTGTGTGTGTCTGCACCCCTATGTTTGTGTCTGCACCCCTGTGTGTGTGTGTGTCTGCGCCCCTGTGTGTGTGTGTGTCTGCGCCCCTGTGTGTGTGTGTCTGCACCCCTGTGTGTGTGTGTGTCTGCACCTCTGTTCTGTGTGCGTCTGTGTGTCTCCCCCATGCCTGTTACAGCTAGACAAGGCATACTCGCGGGACTTCTTTCAACGAGGCCGCATTCGGGTGCAGATAAAGAAGCCTGACAACACGCCACACAACCCCGACATCCCTAACAGTACGTGCTTGTGCGGATTTACAATTGCTTTTTGTTGTCTATCATGCCTGGTAAACGGTTCCACTTGCCTCGGGGCAAGGCTTTCAGCTTGCCCTTGCCATGGTTATTGTTTTCCTTTCAGTCACCCTGTAAGCCTGCTTTCAAAATTGCTTCAAGCAGCTCCCATCTGTTCTGGCTTGCTCCCTTGTACTACCATCTACCCCACGGGTACATGGCAACACTATGGCTTGTACACTGCGCAACCATGCTTTACAGAAATGGCACTTATGCTGAAACTGGGGGAGCTTATACCAAAGCATGTTGGGCGGACCAAGAAAGACAAGGACAAGGAAGGGGGAGGAGGGGGAGGGGGGGCTGGGGGGTCGCACGGAGGAGCAGGGGGCTCTGAGAAGAAGGGCAAGGGGGGCAAGAAGAGGAGATGAGAAGGAAAACAGCTTTTGAATTTGACTGGCAAACCCTCAAGAAAGGGGGTTGAGGAAGTGAGGGGGATGGTGGGCGGCCGGGGGTAGAGGTGGGGTTGAAGGAGGGCGGAAGGGGCGCATCATGCATGCCTTATGCCGGAGTTGATGCTTCACACATGCCATGCCATGAGCTTATCATTCATTGATGGTTTTGTTTGATCCTCCTCAAGAGGAACTGGTATTGTAGTTGCTTCTGGACTGGAGTCTGGACTCAAATACCGGTATCTGCTCCAGCAGGTCCCACTTTCCTTCAAACCACACCTTGCAGCACCGCTAATGCAGCCTGATTTATTGCGAGTCGTGACTGGTGTGAGCCATAGCCTGATAGATTGATACAAAATGTCAGTGTACAAACATGTTACACGTATGGTAACAAGATCGGAACAAACTCTTCCACATGCTGACACCACCCCACGCCCAGGGGCGCAACGCAGCATGCACGACCACACACATGCTTTCTCATGCATGCACGACTCTGAAGAAGTTTTCTAGAATTGCTTTTCGAGATATGGTTTTCGAGAATTGTAAAAATCCACACCTGCCGGAATCACGAGACAATCCTAGGCCAGTCACTCACACTACCAACACCCCTGCCCGACACCACCACCACCCTCACCACCCGCCATCCTGTATTATCACAGCCTTGATCAGTCACACTACAACCCCCCGTCTCCTGCCCAAATGCATCACCCATCCCATCATCCTCCCCACCACCATCCATTACGCCGTCTGCACTATCACAGTAGCCTACCCTCTACAATCACTGCATGTATTATCACACTCACACTACAACACCCCTTGCTACAACCCCCCCCCCCCCCCCCCCCCCTCTCTCCCAAGCCCATCACTCATCCCATGATCCCCTCCCCCTTGATCACAGCCTGTAACTCAGTCACAGCACAACACCCCCCCCCCCTCTTGCTACAACCCTCCTCTGCTACAACCCTACCCTGCTACAACCCTCCCCTGCTGCAACCCTCCCCTGCTGCAACCCTCCCCTGCTGCAACCCTCCCCTGCTGCAACCCTCCCCTGCTGCAACCCTCCCCTGCTGCAACCCTCCCCTGCTGCAACCCTCCCCTGCTGCAACCCTCCCCTGCTGCAACCCTCCCCTGCTGCAACCCTCCCCTGCTGCAACCCGCCCCTGCTGCAACCCTCCCCCAGCTGCCCATTTTCATCACTGATCATCCCATCATCCCCCCACCGTCCATGCATCTGCCTGCTCTGCCACGCCATCTAAACCCACGGCTGCAACTCTCTCACACAACAACCCTCCCCCTGCTTCTTGCCCAAATCCATCACTCATCCCATCGTCCCCCCACCATCCTAAAGGCACCAGCCTCCATCCCTGCAACATACAGCCTGCTGCCTGCACCACCCTTGATTAGCAATGCGTGTATTATCACATCCGAGCCAAGTCACACTACAATCTCCCCCCTGCTAGGCTACAACCCTCCCCCTGTTTCTTGCCCGAATTCATCACTCATCCCATCGACCCCCCCACCATCCAGTATACCCGTTATTATCACTGCCTGTATAAACACAGTCACAATACAGCCCCCCTGCTACAACCCTTGCGGCTACAACCCTCCCCCCTGTCTCTTGCCCGAATTCGTCGCTCATCCCATCATCCCCCCCACCATCCACGGCACTGCCTGCATTACCACGCCCTCTATTATCACACCGTCTCTCAATCACTGCTTCTAATATCACAGCCGTACCTCTCTCGCCCTACAATCCCCCCCCTGTCTCTTGCCCGAATTCGTCGCTCATCCCATCGTCCCCCCCACCATCCATCGCATCCCCCTCCCCCTCCTCCTCCTCTTCCTCCTCCTCCTCCTCCACCTCCCCCTCAACCTCCCCCCCCTCCCTCTCCCTCCCCCCTGCCTGCCCGATCGGCGCGGTGTCCTCGTTAGAGGCGCGCACCGCTATAAGCTGCTGCTCGTACGCGGCCTCGCGCGCCGCCAGCACGGCTTCCTCGCTGAGCGCCGCGAGCGACGCGGGGAGCTCGTCGATCGCAGGGGGGCGGAGATCGGGGTAGTAGATGAACCCGAACGACATGTTGTGAAGGTGGACGAAGGTAGACGGAGGTGGACGGAGGTGGACGGAGGTGGACGGAGGTGGACGGAGGTGGGGGCGAAGGTGGGGACGAACGCCTTGAAAAACAGCGAGAGGATTTCGGCTATGAGGGGACGGCGATGGGGGAAACGGCGAGAGATGCGGGGAGCTCGTCGATCGCGGGGGGACGGAGATCGCGGTAGTAGATGAACCCGAACGACATGGGTGGTTCGTCAAAGGGTATCGCGAATTTGGAGGAGGTGTTTTGTCTCTGAGAATTCTCAAGACCGAAGGGTATTTCGCGGAAATGGAGGAAACTGGCTGCTGACGTGGGTGGCGGAAGGCGGACGAATGGCGTGGCGCGGGTGGCGCGGGCGGCGCAGTGGCGGGGAAAGCCGAGTTGTCAGACGGCTAGAAATCTCGCGGCAAGGGGAGCAGTAGCGAATGGCGCAGCGCGGGTGGCGCGGGAAAGCAGAGTTGTGAGAGACGTCTCGAAAGCTTGAGGCGGTGGGAGCTGTAGCGAAAGCCACCGCACTTGGCGGAGGTAATACGCGTGCTGGCGGCTGTAGTACCAAGACTCGGCTCGGAAGGATGCGATATAGCGAAACGCGCCATGCTACTTTGTGCACACCCCGTCCATCCATACCAACTAAACTTCAACTTAACATTTCAAAGATGCAAAATACATGTCTAATATATTATTGTGCACTCATATCAATGCGCAGCATCTAGATGCACGTTGAGGTCTCGCTCGCTGTGCACCATTACACCACAAATAGGGCACCCCACATTCATCGACCGCCCAGAAACCGCCCCACCCGTCCTCTCCAAATCTCCCCCCAGACTCCCACCCCTCGTAGTACCAACATCCCCCACCCCCTCCAAAACTCGCCCCTCAATTTCCCCCTCCTCCCCACCAAAACCACCAGCAAAGCCACCTGCAAAGGCTCTACCCCATTGCTCTCGATCACTAGCGCTGCCAAACCCTTGCCAGTTGGACTCTTCGTCCATATCTGTCCCGGCGCGCATGCTCCTCCCGCCACCTGGAGGTGCTGCTGCTGACGTGGCAGGCATTGTTATTGGGCCTGCCGTTGCTGTCGCTGCTGGCGAATGGAAAGCTGCCACGTGTACATCCATCTCTTTCAGCATCACCGGCCTCTTACACGTGTCACAGGGGGCAGTGCGGGCCCCACATTGGGCCTCGTGGGCACAGAGGCCGTTCAGGCGGTCTCGGGAGGAGGCAGGGGGGCCGAGGGACGGCACGAGAGCAGCACAGAAGCGGCAGAGAATAGGACGGCGAGGACAGGTGGTGCGACGATGGTGGCGCTGTTGGATTGGAAGTTAAGAGGATGGGGGGTGGGGGGGGGGTGGGGTGGGGGGGGAAGAAGCAAGACATGAGCAGAAAGTAATTGAAAGAATAGCAGCAGAAGGGGCAGTGGCGCCCCACAGCAAAGCTGTTTGATGGTGGGGAGAATTCTCAAAAACACCCAGCAAAATAGAGGGCGGGGAGAATTCTCAGAAACACCCTGCACAATAGAGGGTGGGAGAATATGCAAAAACACCCTTCAAATAGAGGGTGTGGAGAATGGAGGGTGATGAGCAAAGTGACTTTTGAGTCAACTCAAAAGTCACCTCGATGAGCCAAGTGAAACAGCCAGAATAAGAATGGTTGAGGCAGCAAGCCTAGTAGCAGAGAGCTAAAGACCTCAACCATATCACACTTACCACATCAGAAGCCTTCCCCTCGAATCCACATTCGCACACCATCTCCCCGTGCCAAACCTGCTCATGCTTCTCCCTCTCCCTCCTCCCCCCAAACCCCTCCCCACACTCCTGGCAGTGCTGGTGACTCTCCCTACTGCTAGATTGCATTATCCCTACTAATCACTTACCACGTCAGATGCCTTCCCCTCGAATCCACACTCGCACGCAATCTCCCCGTGCCGAACCTGCTCATGCTTCTCCCTCTCCCTCCTCCCCCCAAACACCTCCCCGCACTCCTGGCAGTGCTGGTGACTCCCTGACTCCAAGTCGGTTTTTCTCAGCACCAAGTCGCATCCGGGATGCGGACAAACAACGTTGTGCCGGGAACAGTATGCCTCGTGGAGCGGCAGCGTGCGCGTGGCGATGAGCTGGCGACAGTTGCCGCAACGGGATTGGTCGGGAGGGGATGCAGCAGCAGAACCAGCAGAAATCGCCTCCTTTCCTGGTGCAGGTGCATTATTAGTAGCCATAGCCTGGTCTGCAGCTGCAGCTGAATCCGAGGAGATTAACTCCTTAGTCTGTGCAGACAGATTAAACCTGCATATGCCTGCTGCACCGTGCACTGCTATAGTGTACGTGGCAGGATCCTTAAGCTCCTCAGCTGCTGCTGCTGCTGCTGCTGCTGCTGGTACTAGAACCGTCGCTGCTTCTCTTGCTGCAGGTGCTGTTGCTGCTGCTGCTCCTGCTGCTGATGCTGCTGCCGTTTCTGATAGTGTTGATGCAGAAAGGCTTAGTGTCTTTGAGCCGATAGGGAGAATGGATGCCACGTCATGGTCCAGAAACGAGGGGTACACAATCGGGTGCCTGGACAGGTACAGGTCAGCATCGCCCTCCGCCACGTCATCACCTCCGCGTGCCACGTCAGCGTCCAGTTCAGCCGCCCCCCTCTCAACCTTCAGCTGGAACGCCAGTTCTACCTCACCCAGATACAGCCGTCTGGCCAGCCGTCCATCCACATACACCTTAAAATACCTCCATTCGCCCTCCTTAATCTCTCCTGATACTCCCTTCCCCCCTATCGGCAGCACCACTAACCGCCTATCCGCACTCCCCACGTGAATCACCTCTCTCTTGACACCCCCCTCTCCTCCTGTCCCCACTCCTCCCTCCTCTCCCCCCCTTCCTTCTCCAAACCTCCCTAAACCGCCACTTGTGCTTCTATCTTCAGCCCCCTCCTCTCTCTCCTCGCCTCTCTCTTCTTCCCTCAGCTTCCTTCCCTTACCGGCCCTGGCCCACATCCCCTCTCCCTCATTCCCATCCCTCCCCCAATCCTCCATTTCTCCTTCCTTCCCCTTCCCCTTCCCCTTCCCCTTCCCCTTCCCCTCACCCTTCCGCCCCCCCTCCCTGTTCCCCAGCCCGCTCCCCCCTGCCCCTTCCCCCTCCCATGGTGTTAACTCAACTTCCACGTCAGCATCAATCACTGTAGCAGCGCCGCTCGCGCCGCCCACCCCTTTCACCTCGCACACGCGCACCGCCACCTCCCCGACCTCCGACCCGACCAGTAGCACGTCGCCACGTGTCAGCGCCGCCTGGCCCCGCAGCGCCGCCTCCAGCACAGCGCGGTGGTTCGCCACGTCAGCAAGGAACCCGTGTCGCAGCGGCTGGAGTCGCGCAAACGTGGCTTTAGGAAGGCGGACAAAACGAACGCGCACAGGCGGGGGACTAGTAGTCGAATTAAAGACGTCTATAATCCCTGATAACCCTAAATTTCGGAGGATAAGTGGAGGGAGGCCTACGCAGCCCTCAGGTGCAGTAAACTCCAAAACACCTCCGTGCGTCACCCTCCTCTTCACTCTCCTCCCGTTAGAATCACCCCCGTTAAGATGAACATCTACCGCATAATCCCCCTCGTCTACGTCGTCGTCCTCCTCCTCCCCATCCACCTCCATTCCCCCTTCCCCCGCACTAGGTTCCGCTCCCCCAACTCTTCCGCTTCCGCCAAGCATGCTTCCGCCTGCTGCTCTTCCGCCGATCGTGCTTCCGCCAGCGGCGCGCGGAACGGAGAGCTCGAAGAGCATGGGGCCTCTATCGAGGGCCTCGTTAAGAGGGAGGTCGGACAGCACGGACTGGGGCAGCGTGATCTTATCGCGGTCGCCCGCTATAGCCACGGGGACCAGCTCGCGATTGAAGCGGATGCCGCCTCCCGCTTGCAGATCGGCATCTAGCTGCAGACGCGCCTGGCGGGGGAGAATGACGGAGAGAGGGGGAGCGGGATGGGGAGAGAGAGAATCAGAGGAAGATGGGGTATAGGAGGGTATGAGAGGGTATGAGAGGGTATGAGAGGGTATGAGAGGGTATGAGAGGGTATGAGAGGAAGGAGAAAGAGGAGAACCAGCTCGCGATTGACGCGGATGCCGCCGCCCGCTTGCAGATCGGCATCCAGCTGCCGACGCGCCTGACAGAGAGATGACGAAGGAATAATCGTGGAGACGCGGAAAACGAGATGAAGCGCGAAAGATAAGAGGGTTCGGAAGAGAAAGCAACGGCAGAATTGACGACTAATTCACTATTTTCTGCTGCTGCTTTTACTCACTGCTTCAGCAGCAGCCGCTTCCTCCAGCCGCTTGAGCCCCTGCGCCTCTTCGATAGCCCTCTGGGGAGACGGGGGAAAAGAGATGACGCGCAGCGAATCGAATCAAATCGAATCGAATTGAATCACTCACCGCTTCAGCAGCCGCGGCTTCCTCCAGCCGCTTGATCCGCTGCGCCTCTTCGATGGCCCGCCTGCGCGCCTCGATCTCCTCCTTGGCCTTCCGCTCCCTCTCCGCCTTCACCCTCGCCTTCTCCCGCTTCTCCCGCTGCTCCTTCTCGTACCGCTGCTGCGCCCTCCGCAGCTCGAAATCCATGGCTGGCGGAAGCGAACTGTCTTCGAACTAGCCAGAGGAGGAAAAGGCACAAAAGAAAACGGTTCGCCAGTGGTAAAGCGCCAGAAAGCTACCAATTACAGAGAATCACCAAAAGGCTGGGAAATATGGAGAATCGCAAAACGGCTAGGAAATATGGATCGCCTGCCGTCAATTGGCTTCTCCTAGAAGTTACCACCGCGTCGCGCGATAATGTACACTGCTTATTTATGGAACAATCGAGAGAATGTGAGCCGCTGGATGATGCTAGACGAATCGAGACCACTCGTTAGTTCCTGGGTGGTTCGGCGTTGGTTCACTGCCCTTCGACGTGGGTCCTCGAACGTGATTTTAGCGGAAATTGGACAGCCCAGGAAGAACTGAAATATTACTTAGTGACAAAAATACATGTTAGAACCTGTAATACGGAATTACTTCAATTTTCACGTTCATTCCTGAATGGAACTTCTTTCAAACACACCCTACACTAGAGTGCATACTTGTTGCACTGCGGACATAAGACTAACCCCTCTCACTCCCACTTTCACTCTCACTCTCATTCCGGAAATCATACTCCACAATGAGCCCAAGATTGTCCACTAGTCGATGGAACTTCTCACAGCCGCCACACTGCAAATGCACATTGAACGAAGGATGCGGGGTGGAAACAAGGCGGTGTGGGAACAATGGGGGGGGCGAGGTGACAACAAAGGATGGAATGGGAACTTTGTATGTAAACTCATGCATTCATGAAGTGCAGATCGGCCTTTAGCATTAATGAGTTACCTCATTAGGCGGTGCAGGAATAACAGGGGGCAAGATAACAATGAAGGGTTGAATGGGAACAATGCAAGGAGTTCGGATTCAGATCATAAAGCATGGCAGTAAAGGTGTGGATAAGCAAGCTTTTGTGCTTCCATTGCTACAAAGTCAGATTCGTCAGACTAGCAAAAACGGTGTGCTAGCAGGTCCAGAGGCCCTTCAACCTTTCTCTTACTCCCATTGTTCCCCAGATTCCCCCCCCCTCCCCCCCCCCCCCCCCAACAATTCTTGCCCTACTCACCTGCACAAACACTGTGCCCTTTTTCAATGCCAGCGGGTTGACAAGCCTTGAGGTGCGGGCCCCACACACGCCACATGTGAACGTCACCTGCACACTGCGCCGCAGGCTCGGGTCCGAGTCTAGCACCGAGCCTAACACCGAGCCTGCTTCTGAGTCTGCTGGTGATGCCGAGTCTGAGGTTGCAGAGGGAGCATCAGCAGATGGATCAGGCGAGGAAGAGCTGGAGGCGGGGGGGGAGGTAGCTCCAACTCTCCTATTTGGGGGAGGGAGGTGGGCTGGGCGACAGTGGGGAGAAACATAGGCATATGGAATTCTTAATCGTTGAGGGAAAGGAAGGGGGGAGGGATGGGGGCGGAAGAGAGAAATGTTCATCGTTGAGGGTCAGAGAAGCATGGTGAGAAGCATGGGGTGATGAATGTGTCACTGGAGAGAATGGCGTAGACCAACAATGCCTGATAGGACTGAAATATGCGCCTTGAGACATAAGAATGCAGAACCGAGATGCGTAATCGACTCCCATAATGCATGTTCCTGTCACATTGCTCTCTGTTAGTAGGGGCAGTGAGGAGCGAAGAGAGCAGGAGGCGAGGAGAGAGCAGGAGGCGAGCAGAGAGCAGGAGGCGAGCAGAGAGCAGGAGGTGAGCAGAGAACAGGAGGCGAGCAGAGAGCAGGAGGTGAGCACGCGCCAACCTGACACCTCAAGGGCAGGGCGAGTCAGGGCTGTGAGAGATAGCGCCGTCGTTTGAAGAGGCTTACCGCGTCAGGGCTGCCAGGGTTGTCAGACAACGCACTACACTTGGTCGAAAGCTTGGTACGGGTCCTCGTATCCGCGTTATAAAGCCGACGCGGTACTAGCTCCTTAATCTTCCCGTTTTTGCAAACCGCGGATAGATTAGAGCTTCTGATTCGCGGTTTGCTAAGCAGAACCGGGTTATGTTTCGATGCCGAGGCACTAGGCTTGGGAAGTTGCTTCGGGAACCATCCTAATCTGCAACCGACTGTAGCTGTAGCCATAGCGGCTGTGGGTAGTGGTAGCTTTTCAGAAAATGAGAAATAACCGACGCGCCGGATTGGTCAATCTTTTTTGCAACGACGGAACGGGGGCTATGGCTGTTCTTGCCGATACTCGGGTTGACGGAGAAATAAGGTGATGGGAGGGGTGTGGTGCGTGTTGGGATCGCGGTGTCGGCGCGACGAATATGAACGCTTGGGATGGGAAAGAATGAGCAATGAGGAGCTTAGCAGAGTGCGTCCCGTCGGACGCTTCTAGAACCTCGCGCCTGTGCTTCTTCCCTCAACTATCCCAGTTGTATAGTACATTTAGGGAGGGTGCTTCAGTAAGGGCGGATCCAAATAGTTCACAATCTATTCATTTCATAAAAAGTAACCCGATTTTCACCTCGTTTTGATTTCGCGAGGACACGTGCGCGAAATAGCCGTAACTCCAGACGCATGATGCATGTGAGGGTGCATGTACCCCAGTCAAGATTCGTTTACGAATCGGATGGCAGTTATGTGTAAGTTTGGGGGTGAATGGACACGTGTGGCGCTTCGGAGTTTCGCTTAGCCGGGCTTGACGAGATCAAGACGACTTCGCGAACATCTCGCGTGACGCAACGCCATCTCGTACCTGCCACCCAACCCAGCACGAAACATCAATTCTGTGGGCTGCGACATTTGGTAACTGCGATTTGGGTCATCTTAGGCGAACCGTTTTTTTGCGACCTAACCAGCTGGCGCCAGCTTCTATTTTCATTCCCAATATGGGACGCGGATTCTGGGGAAACGATTTCGGGATCGCTTACAGCTGTTGTACCCGAGTTCGTCAAACGTGTCCAAAAAACCCAATTGAACTTTTTTAGCACGCCCTGATCAGCACGCCCTAATCAGCTCGCCCAACTGACTGCGCAAGGCAGGCCTGCTGGTTCGCGATATTTGCGATCCGAAACTGGAAACCGAGGCCTGGCGAAACGGGGTACCTCTCGCAACGGGGAGATATTGCGAAAATATTGCAAAATGGCCGAAGTCGTGACGCCCTGACGAGATGCTTCTCCTTATGATGAAGCTGTTTTCATGTTTCGACAGCCGAAATCTGATCGTCACCTAGCAAATAGCCAACTCACGAGCTGGTAACCACGGGAGATTTCATCCACCTAGTCCGTCGTTGTTTTTCGCTCGAATCCACGTAGTAACAAACGCAACGGTAAAATTTCCACGACACGAGCCTCCCTGATGTGTTAGTCAGGAGGAGAGCGGAATCTATCAGACCAGCGATAAGGAATCTACCCGCGTCACAAGGCCAAGGTACAAGATGCCTTTTTTCGCTAAATTCCGTTCCATTGCAGAAGCCCAGTTTCCGGATGTCGCTCCGGACTCACGCAGTGTCGGCAGGTCACTCTGCCCATTTTTCCTTAGTCCTAGGTCATCAAACTTCAGTGCTTCTAGGAAAACGGACTTTTTATCGTTTCGTCGCTGACGATTTTCGTCCAACTGTTAGCCGATCGCCGTCGATGTTGCTCTGCCTGCTGATGTCGCGCAACGGCAGCGCCTCCTTTTTTTGCACCAACTCTTTATTCCGTGCACAGTTCTTTGAGACTTGCACGCTGAAATCTCCTCCAAGTGCCTCGTTATAGCCACGCAGCAGCTCTCCTCCTCGGTTAAGTCGTCTCCTCGGACTGCTAGCTCCCGTCCATGCTCCGAGATTTCCAAGTGCCTCGTTATGGTCACGCAGCGGCTCTCCTCCTCGGTGGTGTCGCACTGCTAGCTTCTCACTGCTAGCTCTCGTCCATGCTTTCACATGGAGCAGTCAAGCACCCTTCGCCGCCCACTACCCCCCGCTCATTCCCCACCGCCAATCATATCCACGATTCCCCGCCCGGAAAGCACCTCTCTTTCGGGAGGAATGTCGTCCTCTTTACAAGCACATCCGATAGAAGCACAAGCCGGCTTATCAGATGAAACGAGCTCAGCTACTCCTGACTCAAGGTCCACGTCAGCAATCTCAAGCCAATCATTACATCCCACTGACGCAGCCACGTCATCCGAGCCAGCGAGGCAGCAGACCACGACGTCAATACTGACGTCAGCATCAACAGCTGATTCAGAATCAACGGTAGCCATTCCTCGTCACACCAGGTTTACATCGCCTAATGGCCACCCACTCCGTTCCCCTCAGTCACATCCGCTACAATCACACCCGGCCTCAGACAACCCCCCTTCCCTGTCACACCCATATTCGCAATCATCCCTACAATCCCCGCTATTAGCACGCCCCGTTATAGCGCGCCCCATCAGACGCCACTTATCCGCGCACAATCTCATAAACGAAGCGGATTCTCACACCATCCTCCTCCCCACTCACAATTTCCTCCTCTCCCTCCTCACCTTCCTCCTCATAGCATACCTCACCTTCCGCGAAACCCGCTTCTTCTACCCCCCATGGTCCTGCTCGTCCTTCCTCCGCCTCGTCTCCCCTCTCTTCTCCCTCACGCCTTTCCTCGCCCTCCTCCTCTCCATACTCGCGCCCTTACCGCTCCTCCTAGGGTCGCTATACCTCCTCTCCCGTCTCTCTGCCGCTGCTCTCCGCGCGTTAACGCTGCTTTTATTGTTAATATGCTTATGCGTGACTATCGAAGCCATTATGGCGCAACAGCCGCGGCCAATCCAAGTCCAGACAGGCTTTGAGTCGAGTAAAAGGCCAATCCAGCTTGAGACGAGCCACACCCACCAGAGACCCCGATCCCTCTCCACCACTTCCCACGCCTCCAGTCCCCACCCGTCCAGTCCCCACCCGTCCAGTCCCCACCCCTCCAGTCCCCACCCCTCCAACCATCGAAGCTTCTCGGCCTCTTCCTTCCAGCGCCGCTTCAAACCACTCTTTTCTCACGTCTCTGACCCGCCTATGCCGCACCCGTTAGGCATCTCCCCTGACCAGCGGCTGCTATATCTCTTCATCTCCCTCCTTGGGGGTTCCATAGGCCTCATTCTCCTCTTCCTCCTCCTCATTCCCCAATCCCCCCCGTCTCCTCTCCTCTCCTCCCCTCGCTCCCACCACCCCACCCACTTCTCTCTCGCATCCTCAGCCCTCCGATCGACCGGGCTTCTCCCATCCAGAGCCGTCCGATTTCTGCTGCTGCTGCCCCCCCTGCTCTCTCTCGCTGCTCTTTTGTTCCTCCTGCCCTGGTTTCTTGCGGGCATTCGATTATTTGTTGTCTGCCCGGGAGCAGGCTTTCAGCTGCCCGGCCAAGCTTCTACTTCCAGCTCCACATGCCAAGGCTCGGAGGTGGTGGCGCCTGGTTCGGAAACATCAGGCTCGGTGGTTTCAGGCTTGGAGGGGTTAGGCTCGGCGGTGCATTGTGCAGGAATCCCAGGTTCGGCAGAATCAGCTTCGATGTCCGGCTCAGTGTCCGGTTCGGCATCTGATTCGGTATCAGGTGCGGTAGCGCAGTGCTGTGCTGAATGGAGGGAGGCACTAGCACCTTGGGGTGTGACTAAAGGCGAGGAGGTTATACTGGGGTCTGGCGTGCTCTGGCTCTGCTGTGTTGGGCTGCTGCTGCTGTGGCTGCTGGTGTCCGCCTTTGTTGCTCTCTATATGCACCTCCCGATAGCAGTAGGGGAGGGAGGGAGCGTGGGAGAGAGGGGAGGGGTGGGGGAAAGGGAGGGGGAGGAGAGTGGGAGTGGGAGTGGTAGTGGTGATAGGAGTGGGAGTGATGATGGGTGTGGGATAGAGGTGGGGATTGGCGACCCTGTAGTGGAGTGGGGGGGAGGGGAGGAGGTGGAGGGGGGGTGGAGGGGAGAGTTAAGGGTACGGGGGAAGTAGTGGGGGGAAGCGAGAGGAGAGAGGAGAGAGAGATCCGCGGGAGTGTGGGTGAGGGAAGGACGCGGGAGCAGGGAGAGGAAGGGCAAGGCACGGGAGTTGGTGAGGAGGAGGATGGCGGGGCAGGAGTGGATAGCCCTAGGGGGATGGAGCAGCACCTCTGGCAGCATGTTAAGCGGCAGAACAAGCAGCAAGGGCAGGCAGCCGCAGGAGCAGCAGAGGAGGAATCGGCAGCAGAAGCATCAAAAGCAGGGGCAGCAGTAGCAGTAGCAGAAGCAGAGGCAACAACAGAAGCAGCGAAGGCAGGGGCAGCAACAGCGGCGGCAGCAGCAGCGGCGGCGGCAGCAGCAGCAGCGGCGGCAGCAGCAGCAGCAGGGACGAGGCAATCCTTAGGAAGTGGGAGCGCAGGTTTGTCAGGACCAAGGACCATTCAAGAGGGAGGGGTTGTCTCATTAGCGAGGGAGAGGGAGCTTTTATCCAGAGGCTTATCCAGGCTGTACCTGCCCGGGTACCGTCCACATCAGCAGCTGATTCTGGGGTCGGAGAGCGAGATGTTGACGTGGCATGCGCAGTGGCAGCTGCTGCGAGGCTCCTTCAGGTGATTCTTGATATGATTCTTGATATGTGTGCTGCAGAATGGCTGGCCCTTCATGGGGCTCCAGGCTTTAAGAGGCCGGCTGATGTTGTGCGAGTGCCACCCTGTATCCCAGAAGTCCCTGGGGAAGTCCTTGATATGGGTAGCAGCAGTTGCATACACACTTGCCGCCGCGCTTCCCACTTCTCTTATTGCCCCGTGGCTTTTGCGTCGACTCAAAAGTCACCTCTGGCTGGGGGAAGTCCTTGATATGGGTGCCAGCCGCCGTATACACACTTGCAGCCCTGCTTCACACTTCTCCTTCCCACTTCTCTTCTCACCCCGTGCTCCATACGTCGAATGTTCCCTCTCCTCTCTCTCCTCTCCTCTCCCCCCCTCACAAACTTTCACTCCCACAACTTCGATGCAGCCTTCTTCCCCTCGCTGCTCCTCATGGCAGCCATCGCATCCACTCTCATCGCACTCGCCTTTGTTGCTAGCCATGGTCGCACCCCTCCACACCTCCTCTCCCCCCCATTCCTCCCTCTCTCCCCTTCCTCTCTGTTCCCCCCCCCCCCTTCCCCCCCTCGCACTACCCACACACAGGCTCTCCTCCCACAACTTTGATGCGGCCTTCTTCCCCTCGCTGCTCCTCGTGGCAGCCATCGCATCCACTCTCATAGCAGTCTCCTTTGCCGTGGCTCCTCTCTTTGAGTTCACTGACTTCAGTACGCCCGTGGTACTCGGAGTGGTGACTGCCATACATTTCGACTTCGCCCTACTCCTGCTTACCATGTAAGCGCAACCTGATACGACCTGCTATCAGCCTGTAGTTTGCCCTGTGTCGAGGTGCCTCAAAACTGATACGACCTGCTACCAGCTTGTAGTTTGCCCCTGGATCGACTCACTGCACTGGCCTTTGCCGTGCCGCCGCTCTTTGAGTTCACTGACTTCAGCACGCCCGTGCGTCTTGGTGTTGTTATGTCACTGCCATTCCCTTCGGCTTCGCACGCCTCCTTCTCACCTCCTTCGCACGACCTGTCATCAGGTTCTTGTTTGCCTCTGGATCGACTCGTCGCAGTCTCTCTTGCCGTGGCGCTGCTCCTTGAGTTCACTGATTTTAGCATGTCCATGGTGGTCGGGGTGGTGACGGCCATTGCCATACACTCTCTGTCATTGCCATACACTCTCTGCCATTGCCTCCTGTCAGCATTTCTTGCAGCGTCTCTCTCCATGACACTCTGTCTCCTTAGTCACTACTCCCACGCCTACCTTACCCTTCACCTGGGGCTGCTCGGCGTGCGTTCAGTCTCTTTCATACTCTCTCACGCCCCATCTCTCCATCCATCTCCCCCTCCCCCCCGCCCCCCGGCAGAGTCCTCCTGTCAGCATCCGTACAGACCCCATCTGGCCTACTCTCATCTCTCTCCATGGCACTCCGCCTCCTCCGTCGCTACGCCCACGCCTACCTTGCGCTCAACTTCGGTCTCCTGGGGGTGCTCTCCTCCCTCGCTGCAGCCTGCTTCCTCATAGGGATTCTTCAGTCTGCCATGGTGCAGAATCTCCTGCTCTCTGCCTTACCTTACTCTCGCACTTCCCTTCTTTCCCTTCTCTCCCTCTCCCCTCTCTCCCCTCTTACCAGAGTCCTCCTCTCAGTCTCCGTACAGACCCCATCTGGCCTGCTCTCATCACTCTCCATCGCACTCCGCCTCCTCCGCCGCTACGCCCACGCCTACCTCGCGCTCAACTTCGGCCTCCTGGGGGTGCTCTCCTGCCTCGCTTCTGCCTGCTTCATCCTCACAGGGATTCTTCAGTCTGCCATGGTGCAGAATCTCCTGCTCTCTGGGTCACCTTCATCCGCACAGTCTACACCGTCGACACCCATGTCGCCATTTATTGCAGCATCTACACCATCTACCGCAATGCTTATCTCTTCATTTACATCAACACCAACACTATCAGCAGCTACAACCGCACCCCCAATTTTTTCTAACCAATCAGCTACACCACCACCACCATCGGCGCCTCTACTGCATTTTCCCCATCTACCACTTTCCCCAACCCTTCGCTTCCTGGCACCCCGCCACTTTCCATCTGACCTCTTCCCACCCAAGCTCTTCTCATCAATCCAAGCCTCCCCAGTTTTAACCCAGGGTTTACTATCAACCGATGTTCAATCGGCCGTGCTGCTGATTCTAGCCCTGCCCACCTCAGCGCTCATTCTAGCGTGCCTCTTCTCTGCTGTTGTGCTGCATGCTGTGGCTTCCACTCTCTTCGTCTCCCTTGCTCTCCACCAAATGGGCTCCATTCGCCTCCCCAGAGCCCTCTAACCCCAAGCCTCTCTCCTTGAATCTAACCCTGCCCTGCCCACTGCCCACCTCAGCGCTCATCCTAGCGTGCCTCTTCTCTGCTGTTGTGCTGCATGCTGTGGTTTCCACTCTCTTCGTCTCCCTCGCTCTCCACCAAATGGGCTCCATTTGCCTCCCCAGAGCCCTCTAGGTTCTAACCCCAAGCCTCTCCCTTTGACTGTAGTCTCTAGCCCTGCCCTGGCTCTCTAGCCCGGCGAAAAGGGCAGCTACATGTAAATCCATATTGGATTCATGTACATTCCGAACCTGTCTAACCTTGCCATGGGCAATTGTAAATGAGTACTCTGCTTGACTCCCTCTTTTGTTGGTCAACTTTCTCTACAAAAGGCAATGTATCCCCTCCAATGTCCCTTGCATGCGCACGGTTATTTTGGAAACCTGCTGTTATGTGCTCCCAATGATACCGGTACATGTATGATGAAGCAAAGCTAGTGTAGATTAGTTGAAAAAATGCTAAGGTATGTCGAGTGTAGCCGTACATCATCAGATTTGCTTCTGGGTCCACTGCAGCAGACAAAGATTTTTGCGATGATAGTTTCTAAGGCGTATAGTTCTTCTCCCGCACAAACCTAGAAACTCCTAGGTGTGAAGCGGACTGAGGGCGTGGAGACTACGGTTGCGGTTTCGCTTTGGGTTGCGCAACCCGGCCTGGTTACAGTTTTCGTGGATCTCGTCAAGTTTTTTTTGCGAAAATGGACACTTGTTGCACAACCCACGTCCAGCCCAGTGTCGAAACCCACTTCCGCAACCCAATCCGTAACCCACGTCCGCGCGAACCAAAGAAGCCACCACTTGGTCGCAATCCAATTCTAGGTCTGACGAACACACATTCCTTTCGAAAATCCAAACCTTTTCGCCGTTGCGAACCAGGCGAAATGTTCCTCAGTTTCCTATTCTCATTATTTTTCAATTTGCGAAATTTGAAACAACCGCAACCCAATGTTCCAGGTGTGTTCGGGTTTCCGCTGGGTTGCACAATCCCATGTTCCAGTTGCGTTGCGGGGTCACGGTTTGTGGGTTGCGCAGCTGGCAGCGCAACTCACAGATGCGCAACCCTAGGATAGAAGCCTTGATATGCAATCCAATGGTTGCAGATCATTAGTGTCTAGACGTTTCTTCTATAGGCGACGGTCGCTTCTAACGGTTATCCGTTTCAGCTATCGCGTTCGTCAGCTCTTCGTTACTATTCCGTCGTTACAGGAACGCGAACATTTCAATACTACGTAAATTAGTCGTTGTTTGTAGGTGTTAGTCGTGTTCGTTGCGCAATTCTCGCCGGTTTAGATTTTAGCGTTGTTGGAGTGGTTCCGCCACCCCAGGAGTCGCCTACAAGCGCGGCTTACCATATGGAGGACAGAGGCAGGAACGGCTCAGGCGGCGGCCAATGGGGTGGCGAGCAGCAGCCTATGGATGACGTCAGCGGATCCAACCCTAACGGGCGTGGCGCGCAACCGATGATGGGGAACGGCGGAAGCTTCTCCGCGAAGCGGGGAAGAGGGGAGGAGGGGGGAGCGGAGCCAGGGGGGTCAGACAGAGGCGGGGGGGAGGGGCAGCGGGAGGGGGAACGAGGGGAAAGATCGCGCTTGGGGGAGCGGCCAGGGGGAAGGGGGGGAAGAGGAGGAGCGAAGGAGAGAGAGGGAGGAGAGGGGGTTTGGGAGGGTTTGGGGCGAGCCTGGAAGGGACGGATGGAGCGGAGGTCGGAGGGACGGGGGTTACGAGGACGTGGGTTTTGGCGGAAGGGGAGCGGGGGAGGGAGGGGGAGGCGCGCATGGGGGGAGAGGCGGTATGGGGCGCGGAATGAGCGGAGATATGGGGCCGATGGGGATGGGGGGGATGGGCATGGGGCATATGGGGGGACCCATGGGGGTTGGTATGGGGGGCATGGGCGGAAGCATTGGCGGAGGAGGCATGGGCGGAGGGAGCATGGGCGGAAGCATGGGGATGGGGATGGGAATGGGCATGGGGCATATGGGCATGGGGATGGGGAATATGGGGGGCGCAGGCGGAATGGGAGGCATGGGGGGGATGGGCGGAATGGGGAGCATGGGAATGGGGAGCATGGGTGGAGGCATGGGGGGAGGCATGGGGGGAGGCATGGGCGGAAGCATGGATATGGTGGCCGGGGGAGGCGGAAGAGGCATGCCTATGGGCGGAGGGGGAGGTCCGCCTATGGGCGCGGGGAGACCCCCTATGGGCGGAGACAGCATGCCCATGGGCGGAGGCGGAATGGGCGGAGGGGGGATGGGCGGAGGCCCAGGAATGCAGATGGGGGGAGGTGCAGGCGGAATGGGGGGGCGTGGGATGCGCATGGGTCCGCCTGCGGGAATGCCCATGGGCGGAGGGGGGCGGGGGCAGGGCCAGGAGGAGGGGGAGCAGGAGGGGGAGGCGGAGGCGGAGGGGGAGGCGGAAGCGGAGGGGGAGGGGGAGGGGGAGGGGGAGGGGATGCCCGTCAAATGGGCGCCGGAGGTGCTGGGGGCCCGCCCATGGGCGGAGGAATGGGGGGAGGAATGGGCATGGGGGGAGGCATGGGCGGAGCCATGGGGGGAGGAATGGGCGGAAGAATGGGCGGAGGCATGGGGGGAAGGGGGGGCATGGTGACCCCGGGGGGGCGCATGGGGTATGTGGCAACGCGGGGCAAGTCAAGGGGCGCACAGAACGACTACTCCCAACACTTTGTAGACACGGGATTCAGGCCCCAGAACTTCATACGCGATATGGACGTCTCTGATAGGTTTGAGGAGTACCCGAAGCTGAAGGAGCTTATAACGAGGAAGGATAGGATCGTTGCGGATGCGACTACACCACCTGTGTACCTTCAGATGGACCTTAAACAGGTGATTGTGTTACAATGCAACATGTGATTTTTGTTACGAAATAACAGTTAACCTTCAGAAGAAGCTGAAACAGGTTACTGTGTAACCATGATGTCTGATGTAACGGGTTGATTGTAACAGTTCTGTGTCAAGTGACCTTGTAGCTGTTCCATACCACGCTACTGCTTCTCCTTCCTACATTGCTTTTCCTCGCCCTTCCCCATCCCCCCACCACGCACATTCTAGGTTGAACTAACCCCCGACATATTCGGCACCAAGTTCGACGTTATCTTAATTGACCCACCATGGGAGGAGTATGTGCGGCGGGCGCCAGGGATGGGCGATGAGATCGAATGGTGGACGCCCCAGGAGATTATGGCTCTGAGAATCGAGGTATGTATTGCTGTCAGAGCGGGGGGACTAGCATGGGAGATGGGGGGAGGTGGGGGGGAGGTGCACATGAGGCAGACGCCAGGCATGGGCGATGAGAGCGAGTGGCGGACGCCGCAAGAAATCATGGCCCTGAGGATCGAGGTACGTAGGGAGGGGGGGAGGGGGGTATTGTTAACATCATGAGGGGGTGCAAGGGGGGGGGGGGGAAGGGGTGCAAGGGTGGGGGGGGGAAGGGGGTGCAAGGGGGGGGGGGGGAAGGGGGTGCAAGGGGGGGGGGGGGGAAGGGGGTGCAAGGGTGGGGGGGGGAAGGGGGTGCAAGGGGGGGGGGGGGAAGGGGGTGCAAGGGGGGGGGGGGGGAAGGGGGTGCATGGGAGGGTGGTTTGGTGGGAGGAGTATGTGCGGCGGGCACCAGGCATGGGCGATGGGATCGAGTGGTGGACGCCCCAGGAGATCATGGCTCTGAGGATCGAGGTGGGTTGGGTTGGGTTGGGTTGGGTTGGGTTGGGTTGGGTTGGGTTGGGTTGAGATGCACGTACCAGTTCAATGCACAGACATTGGATGCGCAATGGGATCGAGTGGTGGACGCCCCAGGAGATCGTGTCTCTGAGAATCGAGGTGGGTTAGAGTCCGTTTTCTCAGCATGGCTTACGGCTAGAAAGCGAGGGTCCGTGCGGCGAGCAGCAGGGGGGTAGCTTCGGGGGGGAGGGTATGTGCGAGCGCCGGGGATGGGCGATGAGATCGAGTGGTGGACAAAACAGGGAATAATGGCTCTGAGGATCCAGGTAAGATCCAGGGAAGGTGTAGCTATCAGCATGTGAGGGCAGGGGATTGGGGCGTAATTTTGGAAAAGGGCATGTGAGGGTGGTTTGGGAGGAGCAGCGTGGGACGAGTATGCGAGGCGGGCACCAGGCATGGGGGGGATGAGATTGAGTGGTGAGTGGGATGACATTGAGTGGTGAGTGGGATGACATTGAGTGGTGAGTGGGATGACATTGAGTGGTGAGTGGGATGACATTGAGTGGATATCACGACAGATTGGGTGAGTATGGGTTCTGAGAACCGAGGTGGGTGGGTTGGAGGGCTTTACCTTCAGGAAAACGCACACGACGATAAGCGGGGAAGAGAGGAGTACGTGGGGCAAGCAGAAGGATAGTAAGGAAGGAGGAGCAAGTTGGGGAGATTACGGAGGAGTATGTGCTGCGGGCGATTACGTCCACATTCCTAACCCCTCCCCCCTTCGTTCCTCTCCTCGCCCTTCCCCCAGGCCATAGCCGACACGCCCTCCTTTGTCTTCCTGTGGGTGGGGGATGCGGAGGGGCTGGAGTATGGCCGCATGTGCCTCAAGAAGGTTTGTATGCATCGCTCCTCTCTCCCTTGCTCCCGTGCTCCCTTGCTCCCCTCCTCCTCTTCTCTCACGTGCTTGGGTGGGTGGGCGGCGCGGAGGGGCTGGAGTATGGCCACATGTGCCTCAAGAAGGTTTGACTTGTATAGTATGTGTGTGTACGTGTATATGTGTCTATGTGTATGTGTGTATGTGTGTATCGTAATATTCATAGCCCTCCAGTGATCCTTTTGATGCTGTGACGAGGGCATTGGCTGGGTGAAATCGGCTTGTCTACTTCCAGCTTTCCCGCTTCCCGCTCTCCCGCTTTCCAAGCGGGAGATACACATGCCAATCGGTTGGTCTACTCCTATCTCCCGCTTTCCATGCGGAGTGGGGCTTCCGTTGCGGGGTGAAGACCAACAGAGAGAAAGCGCCTGGGAGAGCAGGCGCTTTGATTGTTCCCTCATGTGGCCGGGACTCTATCCCTGCGCTCCCCTTCCTCCCCCTCATGCGATGCCCGCCAGTGGGGCTTCCACCGCTGTGAGGACATCTGCTGGGTGAAGACTAACTGGGAGAAGCGGGATACCTGGTCAGGCAGGCTCTCTCTCCTCATTCCCAAATGCGACCTTGTATCTGCACATGCCCTCCCCTGTACCTCTCTTGCCCTCCCCTGTACCTCTCTTGCCCTCCCCTGTACCCCCCATCATGCCATGCCATGCCATACCCACTAGTGGGGCTTTCGCCGTTGCGAGGACATCTGCTGGGTGAAGACCAACCGGGAGAAGCCAGATAGCCCCTGGGGGCACACGTCAGAGACCCTGTTCCAGCACTCCAAGGTGCAGTGCGGTGCGGTGCAGTGTGGTTCGGTGTGGGGAGTGACATGGAACTGGCGTGATGTGCTGTGAGTTTAGTTTTGAGGCGCCTCAAAACATGTGCTGTGAGATTTCTGCCTGGTGGGCATCAGGGCCATGGCAGTGAGGAGGAAGAGTCTAGCTCTAGCTGACCCCTGTCTAGCTCCCAGCCACCCTCATGCTCCAACTGTCGCTGCCGCCCCTGCTGCCCCCCCCCTTCCCTTCCCTCTCACCTCAACTTGCCTGCTGGGCATCAAGGTGACTTTTGAGTCGACTCAAAAGTCACCTCGCCCCTGCTGGCCCCCCTCTTCCCTTCCCTCTCACCTCAACTTGCCTGCTGGGCATCAGGGGAGTGGTGAGGAGGAAGAGTCTTGCTCCCAGCGACCCTCGTACTCCAACTGTCCCTGCCGCTCCCAGCAAGGGCCAGCAGGGGCGGCAGGAAGGGTCGTGCTCCCAGCAACCCTCGTACTCCAACCGTCCCTGCCGCCCCTGCTGGCCCCACTGTCCACTCTCTCTCCCACTCCCCCGGGAGCACTGCCTGATGGGCCTCAGGGGTCATGGGGAGGAAGAAAGTCTGCCCACCCTCACCACATCCGGAGCTAGCAAGAAGACAGACGGTCATGCCACATTGGAGCCAATGCATAGAAACCCGCTATTTGTCTTCTTGCTCGCTCCCTACGTGTCTTCTTGCTCGCCCACACCCCTGGAGCACTGCCTGATGGGATGGGCATCCGGGCACAGTGCGGAGGAGCGGATGATGCTTCCCCTGCATTGCACATGTCCTCGCCCCTCTCTCCCCCCGTCTCTCCCCACCTTTCTCCCCCCCTCCCTCCCCACCTATCCCTCCCCCAGGAGCACTGCCTGATGGGCATCAGGGGCACGGTGAGGCGGAGCACAGACGGCCACGTGATTCACGCTAACATTGACACGGATGTGCTTATATCGGAACAGCCACCTTTTGGTAAGTGACTATAACGGATCACATTGTAGCCCTGCTCTTCATTCATGCTAACATTGACAGGGATGTGCTTATGTTGGAGCAGCCACCCTTCGGTGCGTGATCAAAACTGTTTTGTTGTAGGAACAGCCATTTGGTAAGTGATTCATTTAATTTGCCTTTCTTGGGAGGATCCACCATTTGATAATTGATTGTGGTTGGTGGGTAGTTGCTCCTGTACGGTTGCATCAACCGTTTGAGTTTTGAGACGTCTCAAAACGAAACTACTTCTTTTGATAATTGATTGTGGTTGTTGGGTGGTTGCTTGCTCCTTCACAGTCGCATCAACCGAGGTGACTCTTGAGTCGACTCAAGAGTCACCGTGTGGTTGCTCCTGTATGGTCACATCAATCGTTTGAGTTTTGAGACGTCTCAAAACTTATTGTTGTTGGTGGTTGCTTGCCCCCATACGGTCACATCAACCGTTTGAGCAACCACGCTTTATCGGGTCCCCGCCCCGTCTCCTCTTCACCATTCGATAAATGATTGCTTTTGAGGCGCCTCAAAAGTCTCCTCTTCACCATTCGATAAATGATTGTGATTGTGCGTTGTCCTTTCACCCTTTCTTACCAAACTTCCAGAAATCTCACCCCCTCCTCTCAAACCTCATCCAGCCCCCCCCCGGTATATATCCCTGTCAACTGCAATTAGCCCCTCAATTCCCTCTTCACCGCTCTCAACCACTGTTTAGTCTGCCTGAGAGAAGCCCGAGGAGCTTTACTCCCTCATTGAGCACTTTGCTCTCTCAACCGCTCTCTATCACTCTCAACCCCCTGCTCACCGCTCTCCTCCCCTCTGCAGGGAGCATGGAGAAGCCCAAGGAACTATACTCCCTCATCGAGCACTTTGCTCCTAATCCCTCTCAACCGCACTGAATCCCTTCCCAGAACTCCTTCTCATCCTCTCTTCATCCTCTGCAGGAAGCACGGAGAAACCTGAGGAGCTCTACTCCCTCATCGAGCACTTCGCTCTCGGGCGGCGACGAATCGAATTGTTTGGCGCTGACCACAATATCCGGGCAGGCTGGCTGACCGTGGGGAAATCTCTCACCTCCTCAAACTTCAACCCTCAGGTGAGGGCACTCTCAGAATTTAGGCGGGTTTTGAACTTCTTTTCTCAGACTTGCGCTAACTGCTTAAACTTCAACCCTCAGGTGAGGGCACTTTCAGAAGTTTCAACCCGGCTGGTTTTGAACTTCTGACTTGCTCAAACTGCTCAGACCTCTTTTCCTTGCAAGTGGTCCTAATTTGCGCTTTCCCCTTTATAGTCTCGCTCACTAACCCTCCTCCTGCCATTTCACTAGCCATGACATGCTCCTTCGCTTCCTACTTGACACGTGTCCCCACCAGTCCTACTGTAAGCTCTTTGCCGGACCTGACGGCAAGGTTTGGCAAGGCACGGGCCGAGGCAACCCCCCGCCTGGAGCGCCGCACCTGCTGGTTACCACCCCTGAGATCGAGGCTCTGCGGCCCAAGTCTCCCCCGAACCGCCAGCAGCACGGGAACCAGCCCCAAGCCCCCATCCAACCGCCGAATCAATTTCAACCACCCGGTAATCTGGGGAATAACCCTAATTTTGGCCAAATGGGAGGTCCTGGGGGTCATTCTGGGCCTGGGATGGGCGCTAGTGGGCTGAGTGGGGGTGCTTTTGGTGCTGGATCGGGCCCAGGTCAAGCTAATGACGGTCAGGGGGGAGGGGTTGGGAAAAGAACACCTCCCCTCCCACCTAATTTTCATCAATGAGATTTTGTCTGTTTTGTTGAAAATTCCCGTTTACTTTGTGCTGGTTGAAAGTACACTACCTAACCAGATTCATCGCGTCTTTGTGACGGGTGACACCCAAATGAAGCTCAGAGTCGTGGCGAGCCCTCTATTGCAACACGTGGCTGGCGGTAATTCGTGCTGCCTCCTAGCGCTGGGTGTTGACCCTTCTATAGGCAGATTTGTTCGCCAGAATCCATTTCCAGATTTGCACGGCTATCTCCAGGCACCCGTTGACACCAGCACCGTTCGACCCCTCACCACACTGTACCACGCAAAAGTCTGACTACAACACACAAATACATACTGAACCGTTTTCAACCAGAAGTTCCATCCCTCTGTGGAAGTTCGAGGCTGGCTCGTTCGCTGAGATGTTTGGACCATGAGGCCAGGCGACAGCCCTGGCTGACACCGACTAGTCTAGAGAGTCTCCTATTTTCTTTAGTGGACGCCACCGCTTTATTCCTAGTCTGGTACCTCCGACGCAGTTTCGCCACGCACCTCCCGAGGTTTGCCGGCCTGCCAAGAGTTGCACCGCACCTTTCGGTTTGGACGGTGCGGTTCACCGCAAACCGCGGTTTCGAAATTTTTTCTCGGCAGGCAGCCACCAGCTGTTCACGCCTCGTCCGCGTAGCGCTAGCTGATTATCATTCCACTCCCATAACCAACTCCTGCAGCATCTGCAAGTGAATAGATCACCTCGAGACGATCAATTGACACTGAGGTGATCGACAACCTCGGGACCTCAGGAGAACCTCGGGACTTCAGCGGGATTGTGTCTCGGGACGCGGTTTTTTTCAGCGTAGTTGCGCCTGTCAGCTTCAGTAGCAACGCTTTTAGGACGCTTCCTCGGCACTGCTTTCTGCGGCGACTCGTCAGCATGGCCTTTGCTAGCGCCTTGATTGCTAAGTCAGCCACCACCTCAGCTGCTACCGTCTCATGGCCATCCATATCCGCCATCAATGATCTCGTGCCACGTGTCAGCTCCTCTCTATGCCGCGCAAGCACATTCGCGGCTCGTCCCTCCGGTTTCCGCCAAAATTTGTCCCTCGGCTCCGGGTTTTCAGGAGATCGTCTCAGAATTGCCGATGCAGGATCAGTAGCCAACGGCGTCGTGCCACGTGTCGGGAGACCTTCGCAGCGTCGCGGTCTGCTGTTTTCGGCGACGTGGCTTGAGAACAAGTGAGTGCGTGTGCTGTACACGTGAGTGCATGTGCTGTACACGTGAGTGCGTGTGCTGTACACGTGAGTGCGTGTGTCATTCTTTAGCGAAATCTTTAGAGAGCTACCCGCTGCTGCTGCAATAACACTTGTGCAATCGTCGTTTACCGTCGTGCCACGTAGTCGATTTCCTGTGCGCCATGCATTCATGCCACCTTTTCCTTCCACGTCATCAATGTGCTGACGTGGCAGGGCGGTGGTGGAAGCGCCATCTGTCCCCCTTCCTCTGGCGTTCGACCTGTGGCTGGACCGCGAGCTCATCCCCTCCTGGATGCCCTGGATCGCGTCCGTGAAGGTGAGAGCCCTTTATCCCCGTTATAGAGGTGAATCTCTGTACCCGTTATACAGAGAGAAATGCTCTTCCCAGCCGCCCTCCCTCCCTCCGCCCTTCGACCTGTGGCTGGACCGCGAGCTCATCCCCTCCTGGATGCCCTGGATCGCTTCATTAAGGTGAGTCAGTCCTCTTTAGTATCATCCCCGCTAGAAGCTTGAGTCCTCTCTTTTTCCAGCTTGCTATCTCCCCCCCCCCTCTGCCTCCGCCCTTCGATCTGTGGATGCGCTGGACCAAGAGCTCATCCCATCCTGGATGCGCTGGACCGCGTCAGTAAAGGTGGGTCGATTGTCTGTTTGTCCCCGTTATGGAGTCAGTGCTTTGCTGTCTGCTCGCGTCACCTGCATCTGAGTCGACTCAAAAGACAGCTGTCTGCTCGCGTCACCGGCATCACACTGTCGTCTTTCTCCTGCCTTCCCCCAACCCAACGCCCCAACCTGCCTGTAGGTCCGCGGCGACAAGCGAGTAGGCAGTCCACGGGCGCTGCACTGCCTACTCGCTTCCGTCTTTCTCCTTCCTCTATGTGGTGGCTTTTGAGTCGACTCAGAAGTCACCTCTTTTCTCCTCCCTCTATGTGCTCTTGGGTCCCTTCATTCTTTCCCTCCCTCCGCCTCCCCTCAGGTCCGCGACGGCAAGCCAGAGATGTCCACATGAGCGCTGCGCCACACGGCCGTCCATCTCTCTGTTCGTGCGCCACCCATTGTATTCCCCTCCCCCACGCCCCCACGCCCCCACGCCTCCACGCCCCCGTGACGTTCCCCGCCCTCTTCAGGTTCGCGAGGACGCTCTCCACGCGGACGCTGCGCCACGCTGCCCTCACCCTCACCCTCCCTCTTTGACCTCTCTTTGACCTCTCACGCTGCCCACACCGACCTCTCTTTGACCTCTCACGCTGCCCTCACCGACCTCTCTTTGACCTCTCTTTGACCTCTCTTTGACCTCTCTTTGACCTCTCTTTGACCTCTCTTTGACCTCTCTTTGACCTCTCTTCGACCTCTCTTAATCCTCTCTCCCATGACGTTCTCTCCCTCTTCACGTTCGTGACAACAAGCCAGAGCTGTGCACGTGGATGCTGCGCCACACAACCCTCGCCCCTCTCTCTCCGACCACTCTCCTGTGACGTTCCCCCCCTCTTCACGTTCGGGAGGACAAACCGGAGCTCTCCACGTGGATGCGGCGCTACTCTGCCTACTCGCCTCGCCACTGTCATTCTCCTCCCTCCATGTGCTTTTACACCCTTACCTGTTTCCCTCTCCATCTCCTCCTCAGGTCGTCGAGGACAAGCCAGAGCTGTCCACGTGGACGCTGCGCTACAAGGCCTTTGGGCAGAACCTTGAATTCTCGTGGCTTGCCAGGAACCTGCAGGTTAGTGGGTGGGTGGGATGGGGTGGAGTGGAGTGGGGTGGGATGGAGTGGGGTGGGGTGGATTGGGGTGGGATGGGTGAGCCCACACGGCCTTCGGGCAGAACCTTGAATTCTCACTTTTCAATAGTGGTGCATACAGTGGGTGAGCCGTGAAAGACTTCGGCCTTCTCATATTGTATTGTATCCCTCCCCCCCCCCCCCCCCCCCCCCACCAGCCCATTCACCGTCAGAACATCCCCTGGCAATCCGTAGACCGGCTTCCCAACAGCGGTCCACCCAACCGTCGCTTCTCCTCCCCTCCTCTCATTCTATCCTTCTTTTCTGCCCCCCCTTCCCTCCCCCCCCCCCCTCCCATCAGCCCATTCACCACCAGAAGATCCACTGGCGATCGCTGGACGGGCTTCCCAACAGCGGTGCTGTCCGCTTCTTCCCCAAGGGGCCCAACGGCTGCAAGCTGGAGGTAATGTGGATCTTTGCGAGTGTTTTCACCTCTGATGGGGTGATCTTCACGAGTGCTTGCACAGAGGTTTAGATACGGGATGACTGACATGCACTTCTTGCCGAGAGGCCAGGATTGCTGCAGGCTGGAGGAATGTGGTTTGAATGAGTGAGTGGAAGATTCTTTGAATGGGCTACTCGAGACCACATCAGTGACATCACAACTGTCTTGCATTGTATGCTCAATTTTGCTTTTCTCCTGATTCCACAATACTGCTCACAATCTACACCTCTCACAATCTACACCTCACAATCTACACCTCTCCTCGCATTCCTGCAGATGACTATCTCCTATGAGGTGCCGGGAATTCTCGTTCCCGTGGCAAATGTACGATTCTCCAAACCCTGTCGCCGATTATTTCCTGTGTTCTCGATAACACTTTTTTCTGCTCCTCCTCCGCTTCCTTTCCCCACTTTTTTCTGTCGTTCGTAGACTGTCTTGTCTTCCCCTCCTGTCGTCACTGCGTTCCGCGTCTCACCTTTGTCTTCCCCACCCATGCCACGTCACCCTTCCCACAGAGCCTATCCCCATTGGTCGAGAGCATCATTCAAGCAGACCTCGAGCGGTTTGTGGAGTTTGCTAACAAGAGGATACAGGAGAAGGCATAGTATGACAGTACAGCGGGCTGCTGTAATTGTTACCACATGGTTTGGTTCCATACTTGGGTTTGTTTGGTCACATTGCTTGCTTGCTTGTGAAATGTAATTTTTTGAAAGTTTAACACTTTCTAAAAATGTGTATTGTGAGAGTGTAGCGAGGGCCAACGCAGCAAAGGCAGCGACGAAGCGCTACTCACCCTCTTTTGCCTACAAAAGAGGGACGTGAGGCCATTCGGCCTCACCCACGTTCTTCATTTCTAGTTTCTCTAGTTCAATTTCCCCGCCCACCCACCCTCTTGTGCGTAGTTATGTGTTGGACGAGAACCATGTATGTTTCCCAGATGAAATGAAGCACGCTGCCTTTACAAGAGGACCTAAGCAAGCTTTCACAATCAACATCCTTGTAGCACCAGCAAAACTGTTTGAGCCGACGGACACAACACACGATAGGTGGCTGTGTTGTGCCCTGATGTAATTCTCCAGTGCACACGATCAGTTTTGAAAAGTCCGAGGGTGCTGTCATTTGACCTCGAGCCCGACCGCCTCGCGTCAGACTCATACGGTCCTGCACAGTGCACAGGCTAGATCTCGCAATTCCATGCGGTGCGTCTCCGTTCGTCACTTGAGTTGAGAGTCTGATGCAAGGTCGAATCTGACGGGAGCTGTAGGAGATCTTCCAATTCCTGAAGCAGTCAATACCATCTGGTGCATCCACAAGGGTGGAAGGACGCAATGTGGTCTTTTGGCAGCATAAGGAGCAGCATCAGTCAGTCTGCATGTCAACAAAACACACATTCTTGTTCAAATTATATAAGTTATAATTTAATATAGGCTTAGTAGGTTGTTACTGAACCTTTCTGTAGGGGGTACAAACCCCTCCTTGTACTCCCCTCTCTTCTAATCCAACTCTCTTTTCTCTCCTCAACTTTCCTAGCACCTAAAACCTCTCGCCATTCTCATGGCTCCTCCTAGCTCCTAGCTAATCCTTGTGCCATTCTATGGCTTCCTAGCTAAGCTAGTCTTTTGACATGGTATTAGAGCAGTTCGTTCCGTGTGGGCCTGCTCCTCGCGTTTCCGCTGCGTGCTCGTTTCTCTCTCTATCTCGCGCTGCCATGGCGGCCGCGTCAAGCTGCTGTGGCCGCGTCGTCGTGCCGCGGCGCCGCCGTCGACGTCCATGGCGCCCGCGTCCAGCTGCTGTGGGCCGCGCCGTCGTGCCGCAGCTCCGCCGTCGTGTCAAGATGCTGTCGCGACGTGACGGCGCCGTCACGCTGCCGCGGCGTCTACGCGACAGCGCGCGGTCGGCGTAACGGCGACGTCGTGCTGCCGTCGCAACGTCGACGCCCCGCTGCGGCATCGACGCCGCTCCATGACGGCGTCGTCGGGCTGCAGCCGGCCGCGTGACGCTTGTGGCGCCGCTAGACCGGCCGCCCGCATGTCAGCCTGTGGCGCCCCCCCCCCCCCATCCCCCTCCTTCCCCTGTGCCCTCTTCCATTCCGCAGACGACGGCTGACTCCCGCCGGCCGTCCCACCGTCGCGGGGCCTGGCCACGTCACCGAGAGGTGCGGGTGCCGCTGCCGCTGCCGCTGTTGTCGAAGCCGCCGCCGCCGCCGCTGTCGCCGCTTGCGTCGGGGCCACGCAGCCGCACGCCGCCGCCGCCGCCGCTGTCGACACTGCCGCCGCTGCTGCCGTCGCCGCCGCAGCCCCTGCGGTCGACGTCGCCGCCTCACGCACCGTGGGTCGACCGACCTAGAGTCGCTGTCACTGTGGCTGGAATGGGGGTGCTAGGTTAGGGGGTGTGGGTGTGTGTGGGCATGTGACTACCAAGCCTAGGGGGTGTGTTCAAATTATATAAGTTATAATTTAATATAGGCTTAGTAGGTTGTTACTGAACCTTTCTGTAGGGGGTACAAACCCCTCCTTGTACTCCCCTCTCTTCTAATCCAACTCTCTTTTCTCTCCTCAACTTTCCTAGCACCTAAAACCTCTCGCCATTCTCATGGCTCCTCCTAGCTCCTAGCTAAACCTTGTGCCATTCTATGGCTTCCTAGCTAAGCTAGTCTTTTGACAATTCTTTCCACAGTACACTAAAACGCCACAGAAATCTTTCCGAATCCCTCCAGAATCAAAACAAAGGGTCAGAGAAAGCTGCATTCTTTAACCTTATGAAGCCTTCAATTGGGGAGCGGATTCCCCTGCACTTGAACCTGTGGACTCTTCCAAAACTGTAGATCCCAATCTGTTGGGAGGCCAATATCTGTAGACTGATCGACCCAGTACATTCTTGGCTGGTAGCGGGCCCCTGCACACAAAAAGACAGGAGATCAGCCAACCTCTTGGGGTGAAATTTGACTAGGAAAGACCAGAAGGGTACTCTGGCGATGAAATGTGAGCATGGAGAGAGTCAGAGAATCGGAGTGGGTAGTGTGGTGGTAGAATGGAAGTTATGGCGTGTGCATACCAGATGTGTGAGTCATAGCTGTTGTTGCGGTTGTCTCCCATGACAAAGACGTATCCTGGAGGGACGTACTGAGTAAGGGAAAAACAGGTTCATGAGCGAGTGCGGCGTGTAACGCAAAAGAAAACTTCTGGTGGGAAGTACTGAGCAAATGATTAATAGGTTCATGAACTGGTGTGGGGTAACGCAAAGGCACGATTCTGGTGGGACGTACTGAGCAGGGAAAGAACAGGATGTGACTCCTGAGTGGGGTACAAGGGTAGGCAAAAACAAGATGCTGGTGGAAGCAAAAGAAAATGAAATACCTGAGGTTTCATATCATAAGCAGGTGGCTCAAAAGTGAAATCATCTTTCCTCTCCACACCATTCACATAAGTCTTCCCAGCTTTGACCTGCATGAGTCATTAAGAGACATCAGGCACACTTCGGGAAAAGAAGCCAGAGAGGACAACCAACCCAGTACTTGACTAGCAGCCAAAGGACAACCAGAGGGGAAGAAAAATGAATTGGGCTTAAAAGTGATCCCAGAGAGGGGGAAGGGACTGACCTCCACTACGTCTCCAGCTGTAGCTATAATTCTCTTGATAAAAACTTCGCCCGCACTGTAACCTCGTTCCTGCATGTAACAAGCTCGCATGGTTAACCTTAAACAACACCTACCACGGTCCAGAAATGCTCCGGAATAACTCAATATATATACCTGAAGAACCTCGGGTGCCTTGAAAATGACAATGTCGTCAACTTCTGGTTCCCGGAAATAGTACGAGACCTGCGTAGGACCGTGAATGAATAAGTAGGAGAATTTACGAACCCTTGTGAGCTTAAGCAGTCGTAAGAGACCGTTCACTATCGGTTTACGGAGTTACGAACCAACAGTTATTAGATCAGAGGTTAGGATACCCTCTCGTTCTGTTTCTCCTTTCTCCGCTAAGATTCTGCTTCCAAATGCAGGTTCGACTATGACCAAGATCAAGACGATAGATGGCTCACCTTCTCAGCGATGATTCTGTCGCCAATGTGGAATGTCAGAAACATGGACAGCGACGGGATGAACCGTGGCTCGGCGATAAACCACAGTTCGTCAAAGTATTTCGCTCTGTTTATAACGGCCATCTCACCTTTTCTGCGATGATTCTGTCGCCAATGTCGAATGTCGGAAACATTGACAGAGACGGGATGAACCGTGGCTCCGCGACGAACCACCGAAAGACCAGCGAAATTCCGAATGCGATCAGAACCGTCTTGGCGTCGTCTGACGTCAGATCGATCCAATCTGGTAACCAGCTGGGCTTGTTAGCTTCTTCGCCGGACTCCCGTTGACTGTCAGGGTCCCGATCGCTAGTCGTTGGCAGATTCTTGCCTTTGGAGCTTCCGTCATCCCCTCCTCCAGTCTCACCCTCCCCCTCGCGGACAGCAGGAGCACTGACGTCCCTAGCTACGCTGCCATTCCCCCGAGATCCAGACGAACTGTCGTTGAGCGAAGCTCGTGCATTTGCTCGAGATCGGACGGTGAGGAATGATTGAATGCCGGAGATCGAGGGTCTCAAAGGTCCTGATAGTCCTCTAAAGGAGGAGCTGATACTCCTGTGAACAGAAATGTTCGCCGGTCTGCAACTTCTGTTCAGATTAGCACAAACCGGAAAATGCGGAACGGCGGACCGACGTTGAATAGTGGCTGCATTAGGGCATTTGGTAGTGAAACCGCAATCCATAAATTTTGAGCCAGTACAAGCGGGTAAGGCCGCCGCGTTCGCCATACTGAGAGCCTCACTATCCTGCGAAAACCTTCAGTTGATTAAACCTGAAGGACGTTCCCGGCTGGTTATCTATCCGCCGAATCTCTCCTGCTGGTGTGAACTGAGCAACCAGAGGAAACTAGGCAGCAAAGCGGCGAGTCGATCACCAGGCACCACGGGACGCAAGGAGAGGACGCGTTAGACACAGCTGAACGACGACGGGCAAAACGAGAAGAAAACGGAGAAAACGGAGACTAGCGGATAAAAAGGAGAGGGTCCTTTTTGCTGGTAGGACCAGACCTCGGCTGCTGTGATGCGAAATCTAGGAACCACCAGAAGAACAGTCTGTCGGATCCCCCTGATCCCTTATCCAAAACCAGAGTCCAAAGAAGTGCTCTCCCTGAGATTGCGGATTGGGAATTCATACGAGCGGTGACTAAACATGGGCCCCGCTCACACAGGAGGTTACTCCGCTAACACGAACCCTGTTATGAATTAATCAGTGTAACAGGTAGTGTAATAAAGGAGTCGATACAAATGAGGGCCTATGCATTTATAGGCACGAACAGAGCTAGCCGAGAACCACGCGAACAGGTTGGGGCGATCTGGTTGGCGAAAGCCACGGAAGCGCTGCGCGTCGAGGTTTGGGTTCGCGAAATGGTTCGGGACCGAAGAAGTTGGCCGAGCCTGGACTTCCGAGAGTCGAGGGCGTACGCGCTGTAGTCGAGCCCAGTATGGAAATGGGAATTTCCTTACACCACCCCCCCTTCCGGGATGAGACTTACCACATCCGGGGCACGTCGTCGGTGTAAATAGTCCCGGACGACTTTGTGTTCGCTGAGCATAGCTGCGGGGACCCAAAGATCGTCGTCAGTCGTGCGATCGACCCATCGTACAAGGAAATCAACGGCTGCCGTATCTCGATGGCCTCGTACGCGATGAGCGAGAATCTTCGATGGCTCGACCGTCGGCTCAGGTACTGGGTTGACCGTAGGATTGATCAGGGCCCAAAATTGGTTTAGGGGCACCCTTGGGAATCAGGGTAGTCCAAAAAATTTGCCTTGTCACCTAGGGTGAAAATTACAGCACCCTTTGAAAATCAGGGTGTTGTTGTGAAAAATCGTCCATACCCTGTTTGAGTCAGGGTATTTATGCCATCACCCTGTCCACTGAATGGTTAGTAGTTGCTGCAATTTCAGTTTTCTTTTTACAGCAAGCATACATCAGGATCACCCACTACAGAAAAACATCAACAGCGTCTGCTACTTAAGCTACTTATGCCACCATTAGACCACTATATAGATACAGCAACACCGGCGGGGGCAGCATCAGCTACAGTGTTCCCCGGATGGAGCTACTGCTGGAGGTGCAGGGGGGGAAGAAGCGTGGGGGCAAGGACGTGGTGAGGCGCGGGGGGGGGGGGGGTAGCAAGAGACTAAGGGAGCCGCGAGAGACTAAGGGAGCAGCAAGAGCCTAAGGGCGTATTCCTGGAGTGTAGCATCAGAATCAGGAACGCCAGTAGTGAATTTGATTAAGCATGGCGTAAGAAAAAATCGGCACTTTCGCATGAGTGAAGGTTGGCTGACGATGAGATCGCAACTGTTAAATGTACAATCGCGCGTCGTACGCTCGACGCATGGTGAAATAAGGGAGCTTGCGAGAAGCGATGGTGCTCTCTAAAACGAAATGGATGAAAAATGGAATTCTACGCATCGGAATCAAATTCAGTAACCCCGTTTCTGATTCTGATGCTAGTCCCCAGGAGTACGACCTAAGGGAGCAGCGAGAGACTAAGGGAGCAACGAGAGACTAAGGGAGCAGCGAGAGACCGAGGGAGCACGGAAAGACTAAGGCAGGGAACAGAGAGACTGAGAAGGTTGGGGGGGGGCGAGCGCGAGAGAACAGAACAGAACAGAGAGTCTCGGGAAGGGAGGGAGCAGCGAGAAATGCATTTGTTCGTGCATAGTGACGCGGGATTCAGTGTAGGTGGGCGGGGCTGCCTGCCCGCGTGGCAGAGTCGACTCGACAGTAAGCGTATTTCGAGGGTTTGGAATCTGTTCCAGGGTGTTTTTCGGCGCACCCTGACTGGTCAGGGTAATAAGACGAACACTCTTCCTACAGCAGGGTAAAAAAATCCTTACACTTTTTGAGAAAGGGTAAGAAACAATTTGGCCTTACAAAATCAGGGTAATCCTGAAAAAGTGGCCGTTGGCAAGGGCAATCAGGGTGAAACACCCTTCAAATTTGAGCCCTGGGATTGATGTATTGACAGTCGAGATTAGTCGTACTCGGGATGAATGGTCGCAGGAGGCTGACGTGAAATGAATCATGAATTTGCCAGTCGACCAGCAGTTGCAGATGGGCGGTGACTGGTGTCCCCATGCGGATGATGCGGAATGGGCCGCAAAATCTTGGTCGTAATTTATTTGGGAGGGGAATTCCCAAATTTCAGGTGTCGAGCAGGACCAATTGCCCAGGGGCAAGAGTTAAGTCTCGGCGTCGTCGGTCAGCTTGCTGCTTAGCCCTTTGATTGGCTTTGAGGATGGCATCAGCGACTTTTTGCTGAGACTGTCGGACATTTTCTACGAACTGCTGAGATCTTGGTGCCAGATTTTCTATCGGTGGCGATAGAGGGGTTGTCAGGTCTATCCCGTGATTAAGGAAGAACGAGGATTGGGTAGTCGTGACTGATGGGGCGTTGTTGTACGCAAACTCGATCAAGGGAAGGGAGTCTTCCCATTGGTGCGCTCAGTTTGGCCGTCCAATTGCGAGTGGTACGCCGTGGATAGATGCAGACGTGTGCAGTACTGCTGCCAGGTTTTTGTCCAGAAGTTGGACGTGAACTGTGGGTCGCGATCGCTGATGATTGCCGAAGGAATGCTGCGTAGCTGCACGATGTTCGTGAGGAATAGTTTCGCTGTCTGCTCGGCAGTAATTGTCGTCTTGCAGGCGGCGAAGTGGGCCATCTTGGTCAACCGGTCAACGACGACGAGAATTGCGTCGTTACCGCTTGAACCAGCTGGTATGCCTGTGACGAAATCCATCGTCACTTGTTGCCAGAGTCGGCTGGGTGGCTCGAGCGGCTGCAGCAGTCCCTCATGTCGAAGCCGTGAAGACTTCATGCGTTGACACGTGGCGCAGAAGGTAACGTACTGCTGCACATCTGTCGGTAAGTTGCGCTAGTAATAGTTACGGCTCAGTAATTTGGCAGTTTTGTCGACGCCGTAGTGACCCGAGAAATTCGAGTCGTGTGCCTCTTGCATCAGTAGTTCTCGTAGGGTACGGTAGGCGGGAACCCAAATCCGGTTGGGCGCGGATGAATTGTAGCGATTTATGGTCTATTCGGACTGTCACGTCAGCGCCCGTCAGGTAGCAGCGCCAGACTTTGAAAGCGCGAACGATGGCGAGTAACTCCTTGTCGTGGACACGATAATTTCACTCGGCCAGGTTCAGCTTTCGTGACTCTTAGGCGATGGGTTGGAGGCCTTTGCCGAAGTCTTGTAACAGTATTGCGCCAACAGCCAGGTCGCTAGCGTCGGTGATGAGCTCGAACGGACGGTGAGGATCTGCAATTCGAAGAACCGCATGTGTAGTTAGGAAAAGTTTGAGCTGTTTGAATGCAGCTTGCTGCTCTCCCCCCCATTCATAAAACTTGCCTTTCTTCAGGAGATCCGTGAGTGGGGAAGTTACCCCTGCCATGTTTGGGATGAATCGGCGAACGTAATTCACAAACCCCAGGAAACTTTGAAGTTCATGGAGATTAGCCGGCGGCTTCCTGTCTTGTATGGTCGCGATCTTCTTCGGGTCGATTTTAACACCGTCGATGGAAATAACGTGTCCCAAAACCTCCAGTTCTTGTTTTAGAAACTCGCACTTAGAGCCTTTGGTTATGAGTTGGTGCTGCTGCAGGAGCGAGAAGACCGCTTCCAAATCCTTCAAATGCTGTTCCCCGGTAGTGCTGTAGATCAGGATATCGTCGAGGTACACGATGACGCATTTATCCAGTAGCGGCCGAAAAACTTCGTTCATGGTTAACTGGAACGTCGAAGGCGCGTTTGTTAAGCCAAATGGCATAACCGTGTACTCGTAACTCCCGTACCGGGTTCTAAACGTCGTCTTGTAGCAATCAGCTTCGTGCACGCGGATCTGATGGTAACCGCCTCACAGGTCAATTTTCAAAAAGAATTTGGCTTCACGAAGTTGGTCGATGAGTTCGTCGGCATGCGGGATAGGATAGCGGGACTTGATGGTAACCCGATTCAAGGCGCGGTAGTCAATACACATTCGTAGACTGCCATCTTTCTTCGGGGTGAACAGGATCGGAGTTGCGAACGGGGAAGTGCTGGGGCAAACGAAACCTTTCTCGAGCAGGTAGTCCAGCAGGCGTCGAATTTCATCCAGTTCGGGTTGAGTCAGCCGCCATTGCGTCCGAACAGTCGGTTGCGCGCCGAGCTCCAACTCGATTTTGTGGTCGTGGTCTCGCTCATGTGGCAAACCTGCCGGTAGGTCGTCTGGAAAAATGTCGGCGTGCTTGCGAATCACGTTGGCCAAATCGTTCGGGACAGCTGCGCAAAGTTTGTCGATGTCGGCTGGCGTGTCGAAAGTCGTTGATGCGATCCATCGGACGGCGTACAGTTGCGCCCCGCGAATCATAGCTCGCTTGATCGTTACTGTGCTGACCGTCGATGTCATCGAATCTTGACAGCTCCATTTGGGGAGTCGTCGCCACTCACCACTCCATTTGATACGACAGTCGCCTGTCCTCCAGTCGATGCTCGGGTTGTATTCGCGCAGCCAATCGCGTCCTAGCAGCATGTCGCATCCGTCCAAAGTTGTCGCCGGCATTTTCGTTGTGAAGCTGAAATTTTCGCCGCATGTTACTCGCACGTGAGGTACTCGCTCCCAGATTGCCAGTGGTGTGCCGTCGACCAATCGCGCGTCGATTTCAGGCATGCAGCGCTCCAGTTGCAGTCGCATTTTTTTTCGTCTTCGTGACGTCCATCAAACAGTGGCTTGCCTCGCCATCGACGAATATCTTGATGCGGGTGTCGCCAACTCTCCCTTCAACCAGCACAGGGCGATCAACCGGTTCACCCCCCTTATTCAGCCAGGAATGGTCGATAGCCCAAATCGGCACTATTACTTGGTGGGGGTTTTGGCGTTTGGGCAACGCAGTCAAGTCACTAGGTGGCCCATCTGCTACTGACGATCTCCATTTCCCGATTGCTTCTTGTCGCTAGGTAAGTTCTTCTTCAGCTGCGGGCAGTCCCTCACCATGTGACCTGGCTGGTTGCAGTGGAAGCAGGTCCTCGAAAATACTCGGGCTGCAAACACGTCCACGTCGTTGATTGATGTGTGTTGGGGCTGGCCTCGAAAGCGATTTCCCTCCCGGAAACCCGCTCTCGCGAGTCCACGCCGTGCGTCCAGCGCGTCTGCCCCCCGAGCCCGCTCCAGAACCAGCTCCAGCCCGCTCCCCAGCACCCCCAGAACGCACAAACCCCAGCGGCAGTGACGACAGCAGCTGCAGCTGCGGCTGCGATGCCAGCGGCGGAGGCGGCTGCGGCTGGGACAGGGGAGGGGAGACCGAGGCGAGGACAGGCGGGGGGGAAGAGACTCCGCCGAGCAACGGGAGTCAGCAGACTCCTCGGCAGGGACAACCGACGGGAGGGGGGTGACGTCAGACATACCAGACAGTGCAGGGCGGGAAGGGGGGGGAACAGGGGCGACCGAGGGAAGAGGGGGGGAGTGACCGGGAGACCACAGTGGGGAAAGCGGTGGTAGAAGGAGACGGACTCGTCAAAAGTGACGTCGCGAGATTGGAAGAGACGGTGAGAAGGTGGGTAGTAGAATTGCCAGTCAGACGAGTCGAGGGGGAAACCTAGAAAGACACAGGGGACAGTGCGAGCCAGAGGCACGAACGTGAGCAAGGCAGCCCCAGACGTGGTACGCAGACGCAACACCAGGAGACCCGGTCCAGAGGAGGGTCGGTGAAACCTGCGGCCGCTGAGGGTGCGGCCACAGGTTAAGCTGGTGGGCGGCCTAGGGGACAGCGAAGGGCCACGGAAAATGGGGTGCACCGGCATGGATCATGGAGGTACGAGCCACCTCCATGACCAAACCGATGCATCGCTCAGCGACCCCATTCTGCTGCGCCGGCAGGGTGAACGTCTGGGTGATGCCCTCCGCACGACAGAAGCGACCAGGGCAGCCAGAGGCAAACTCGCCACCACGGTCGGAGTGAAGACGCAACACAGGGAGACCTCGCTGCATACGCGCATAGACAAGCCACGAGAAAAGAACGTCAGGCACGTCGGCCTTCCGCTCCAAGGGAAACACAGCGGTGTAGCGTGTGTAGTCGTCGACAAGCACAAGGAAGTAACGCTCGCGACGCGGCCCATGGACAGGGGCGGGGCCCCAGACGTCCATGTGCAGGGTCTGCAGCGGTGCAGAGGTGGGGGGGAATGAGGAGGAGTGAGGGGGACGGCGGAGCCGGCCCTCGACGCAGGGCGTGCGCGGAGGCGCGGGTGAGGAGGGGAGCGCGGGGAACGACTCAGGGAGACCTAGGATAAGACGGTGCTGGGACATATGACAGAGACGGGTGAGAGCGGGTTGACCTAGATGGTGGTGCCACAGAAGCGACGGGTGGGTAAGCGACCGACACGAGCACGCCGCAGCAACCTGGAAGATGCTGCGACCAGGGGAGGCGTCCCAGCCAGGGGGGACGTGGTGTCCAGCGTGAACAGGCCAGACATAGGGTCCTGGGGGAACGTGGTGAGGGGGCCACCAGTGGCGGCCTCAGTACAGATAGCGTACCGCTCGTGCCCAGGGAACGTAGTGGTGACTCCAAGGTCCTGGAGGCAGCCGACACCAACTAGGTTCCTACAGAACGAGGGGATGTGCAGGCGTGTAAGGGAGGCCAAGGGAACCGCTGGACTGGGGAGAATAGTAGAGCTACGGGCAACTACCGGACCGGAGGAAGGGTCTGCAAGAGCAGCTGCAGCGGGAGCGGCAAGCGGTATAAGTGTAGTGGAGTCGCGAAAGAAACACCGGGAAGCGCCGCAGTCCAGGGTGAAGGAGAGCGTGGCAGCGGCGACAGAGGTCGGAGAAGCGAGCAAGGACCCAAGGCTAAACAAGGCAGGGAATCCTACGCTTGACGTAGCAGGGGAGCCTGAACTAGGCACATTGGGCGCACCTACACTAGGCAATACAGAGTAATAGGAACCAGTCACACTAGAGTCATCGACATATAGCACATACAAAGCAGAACTAATCTCATCCATGTCCATACCAAAGATCTTAACACCACGACGGAGCAGACTGTGCCAGACGGGGAGGTCAGGCGACGGGCCAAAGTGGAGACGAAACAGGTCGTCGAGGCGACGGAAGCAACGAGTGAGGGGATGGCCGATCTTACCATACACAAGGCCGCGGCGAGGACCGGTCTGGAGCTGGTACTGGAAGCGCCCGTCACCCTGACCACCACCCGACGGCACGTCGGGGGCACGACCACTGCGACCACAATCACCGCCGGCTCCAGACCACCCGGGGGGGAGACGGCCGACCCGTCGTTGCTACTGCTGCTGCTGCGGCGGTTGCTGCTGGGGTGCTGCGGCTTCGGCTGCTGTTGGTCCAGCGACGGTGCCTACTGCTGCTGCTGCTAGGACTGCTGCTCTGAGGCACCAGCCCCAGCCCCCTCGTCAGTACTACCAGCAGGCGAGCCACCTCCACCACCGGCACCACTCCCTCCTCCTCTACCTCCGCCGCACCCAGCCTTGGGACGGTGACCCTTACCCGGACGAAACTGCACTGCGGCGGCTGTCTCCGCAGCCGGAGCTGTCTCAGCAACCGCAGCAAAACCGTCGGAGTAAGCGCACTGAGCAGGGGCACAGCCTTGAAAGATAGAGACCGGCACGGTACCACTAGACTGGGCGGTAGAGCGCTGACAAGTCTCTACGGCAGAAAGGGTGTCAATAAAGTCAGTGAGGGTGAGGTCAGCGGGGTGGAGACTAAGGAAGTGATCGCGGGTGGTGGCAAGGCGGTCAGGGAGGCGGGTGGCAAGCAGGAAGAGGCTAGAGCAGATGGGGGCTGAAACACACGAACCTGGGCCTCAGTACAGGCAGCGCGCCAGGTTGTGTCTAGCGTGCGCAGATGGGCGGCTAGGTCAGTGACAATAGGGAATGACGCGAGATCAGAAAAGAGCATGGGCAGGATCAGGCGACCAACGGAAGTAGAGGGCGGGGTGGAATAGCGCGCAACAACAAGCTCTAGGAACTCCTGCGCAGTCCAAACCGACCTAAAGTGGGGGCGCTCGGACAGGGGGGGGGCATGACTAATCGCAAGCTATGCGACAGCGTCACACGACAACCAGACAGCACGGGCAAGGGCAGCAGCGGCAGCGGACTCATGGTCAGCAGATGTGGGGTCTGCGGGGAGAGCAGTAGGGGGGTCCGGGCAGGGTAGCGTACCTTCGATGTGGACGGCCAAGGAGTGGCCATCCTGCCGCTGACCAGTCAGGTGTCGTTGGAGGTCGACGAGCCACGAGTCGAACTCAATCGGCTGCCCCTCCGCATCAAAACGCAGGACCGAGTCTGCCATCATGGTCGCTGCACCAGCAGAAGGGCGGTACGGGGCAGTACGGTGCAGTGGAAAGCGGTGATATGCGATATGGTGCTGTACAGTGCGGTAGAGGGAGATGCAATACGGTAGGGTGCGGTGCAGGGCGGTGCAGTGCGATTCAGGGCGGTGCAATGCGGTGCGGTGCGATGCAGCGCGGTGCAGGGCGGTGCAATGCGGTGCAGTGCTGTGCAGAGCGATGTCGAGCGGTGCAGCGCGATGCAAAGGGCCAAGGACGGTGGCGGGTCGACGTGGCCGGCTAGGCGACGGGGCCAGCAAGGGGAGGGGGCCGGTCGGGCGACGGGGCCTGCTAGGCGACGGGGTTGGCTAGGAGGTGGGGCCGGCAAGGAGACGGGGCCGGATGGGCGGCGGGGCCGGCTGGGCTACGGGGTCGGCTAGGTGACGGGGGCCAACTAGGCGACGGGGCCGGTCGGACGGCGGGGCCGGCTAGGCGACTGGGCCGAGTGGGCGACGGCTAGGAGGCAAGGCCGACTGAGCTACGGGGCCGGCTGAGAGGACGGGCCCGGCGAGGGCGACGGGGCCGATTTGGGCGGTGGAGCCAGCTAGGAGGCGGGGTCGACGAGACTGAATGGGCGGCGGGGCCAGCTAGGAGGCGGGGCTGACAAGGCCGATTGGGCAGAGGGGCCTGCTAGGAGGCGGGGTTGACAAGACCAACTGGGCGGTGTTATAATCACAATAGGCTCAGATGTGCCTATAATGAGAGATAGAGAGCATAGTCGGATTTCTGTCAGACGGCTTCAAATATTGATAACGATCTGGTCGCTGAATCAAACTATGATCTGTAAGTTGTATCTAGAGCGCGTTGCTGTCGTCTATCAGCAGCAAGTTGAATCATGAAATTCCATGAAGATTTGACGACGCTATGGCAGTTTTACTGGCAGGAGGTATAGCAGCCACTATAGTCTTGGAAGTACAAACTTAGC